GGGTTCAGCGTTGAACTGCTAACTGAGACATGAGCGGTTCAAGCCTGCCTGCCGCTCCAAGGGAGCAAAACCATGCTCTCTGTGCATAGAATATTTTAGAGACCCTGGGAGCCCTCGGGCACTTCTGTCTTACACATTCACCACGAGGCAGGAACAACTACAAGTCAGATGGCATCAGAAGTGTGCTTTGTTGTCTTTTTCTGTTCAGGACCCTAATCCCCCATACACACTGGCACACCCGTCTTCCTGTGCCCCACAGAAGGGCCAGCCAAGGCTATGTCCAGATTCCCTGGAAAGAAGACAGTGGGAGGGGCTCTGAGGGCCGTGAATCCTTACCAAGCCAACCCGCTAGAGTACTGGAGCACAGAGCTTGTTTTCGTGACTCAGGAGAACAGACTTCACTCCGTTGAGCATGCTTGCCACACAGCAGGCTTCATCTTCCGTGAGGTGTGAGGGTGGTGGTGATAGAATATAACGACCACAGCTAACCCCATGGCCACTGAGCCGGTGCTGACTCACGGTGACCCTGTAGGACAGAGGACAACTGCCCCTGTGGGTTTCCTAGATGGTAAAGCTTCATGAGGGCAGACAGCCTCATCTTTCTCCTGTAGAGTACCCGGTGGGGTCGTACTTCGGAGCTTGGTGTCCGCAGCCCAATGTTTATCCCATGGTGTCATCAGGAAGCTGTTAGAAGCTCTTAACATGAGTGACCGCACTGAATCCTCGGCATGACCTGGCGTCCCTCGCTGTCCCACTCCAGGGCACTGCCTGTCCCAGGAGTCCCATGCCAGGATTACAGAGAGGTATGACCATGGGGGCAGAGGTGGCATCTGGGTGCTGGCAGGTGCACTGTGTCACTTGCGTGACTGAGTGGGCAGAATCAGTTCCGCAGCCACATCATTTATAGTCCAGGATGAAGACCTTGTCTCCCACCACCACCCTCCCCCCTTTAACCTTGGGACTCAAACTCCAGCTGCATCAGAACCACCTCTGGAACTTGATAAACTACAGACCTGCCAGGCCCGAGCCCAGAGCTAGGACAGGCTTTCTGGGCAGGCCGTGGGGACGAGGCTTTAATTGGTTACCGGATGCTGGTGTCAGCAGTGCCCAGTTACTGCACGAACCTAGGAAGCTCGGTACAGACCCATGGCCAGTGGCTGGGTTTCTTCCACAGTGGACAGTGGGCTCCAGGAGACCCTCCCACACACCCTACAAGAACCCGGTTGCTCAAGTGATTCCGGCTCGGGCAGCCCTCTAGAATGGAACTGATCCATAGGGTTTTCCTCAGTACATCTCCAGGCCTGTGTTCAAGGCAACTTTGGGTAGACTTGACCTCCAACCTTTGCATTAGCTGCTAAGTGGATGCTTACACCCCTTTAATTAAAAATAAACACTGCTATCAAGTCCATTCTGACTCACAATGACCCTACAGAACAGAGTTGAACTGCACCTTTGGAAGACCCTACCTCTTTGGGCACAGCCAGCCTCATCTTTCTCCCTCAGAGTAGGCTGGTAGCTTTGAACTGCTGACCTTGCAGTTAGCAGCTTAATGTTGAGTGCC